GTCGTTTTTGCGATTTTTACAATTACATATAAGGGAAGCAACTTTTCATGTCCTAAGATAACCTTTAGATAACTTCCGTCCAGTGGGCGGGTACTCCAGCTAGGATAAACATATGGTAAGATTCTGAAATGTCTTTAAATTGATCAGAAACTTTGAGATTATTTAATAAATGTTTATTATGAACTTACAACTGTTTAAGACCATAACTTTTTCGCGCACTGAAGTCATTTGTTTTCTTATGCTGATCATTGGATGTTAAATTTTTAATTTGTGTCGATTATGAAAATAATCATGTTTGTTTTTTCATATTCGTTTTTAATTTTAGACCGTTGCCGACGACTGAGAAATAACTTTAAAATAAACCTGAATGTGATTTCAATTAATAGCATCACGAGTTTTAGAACCATATAGCGAGTTATGTACATTTCCCATACAAATCGTAAATCTCGAAAAGTCACAAATATTATACATTTTACTGTATTGGTAATGGGTATTAAAGATTTCGATTACTGGTGAAGGAAAATATTGTTTGTTTCTGTATGAAAAGTACAACTTCCTCTGTGTAAAAGAACGCAAGGTTTTTAAATAATTCAAGCATTTTAGTATAAAAATCAGAGAAAGAACTACCAGGAAGAAGCCATCTACAGAGCTTGTTTGTTTGAAGTTAAGCACAAAGCTACACAATGGACTATATGTGCTCTGCCCACCACGGGTATCGAAACCCGGATTCTAGCGTTGTAAGTCCGCAGGTATACCGCTGTGCCACTGGGGTGGGGCATCTACAGAGCTCTTACTAAGTAATGTAAAGTATTTCTACAATAATTGGCAGATCAAAACTTGTGTAAATATGCAAAATATAGGCACTGACAGGTAACTTTTCTTTCACTTTTTTTAGTCGTGTAGTTTGATATTTTACAAGCTTTTCATGCTTTATTTTTTTCTTACGAAAACGGTTTCAAAACGGCGTCAGTTTTGAGTTAACATGTTTTCAGTAATGTTTGGAAACCATAGAGGGTTAAGATAGAAGTAACAAACATTGCTCACTGGCTTTCAAAGTTGGTTGTGTAATCAACGTTGTTTGTCGTAAATATGGTTTGCCCTTGTATGGAACCTCACGTTCCTTGGGCTTGAACACGTGCGCTCGTGCTTGTTGAAAAGAGCCTGCATGTCTCTTTTGACAGGCTCTCCACAGTTAGTAGAATCCATACAACCAGAATGAGTGGCGACATGAGAAATTACAAAAGAATCTTGAATTAAGAAAATGCAACCCTAACGGCAAATTTCTATTCTAGGTTTTAGCAACTACAAGACTATTATTTTGCTTTTAGGGTCTCTTATATAAATATCGATGTCTTGAAAAAATAACAAACCCGTGCACTTGCACGTTCGTCAGTATGGGTTCAAGAACAGAAACTTGCCTAATTCTGATGTCTGAGAAAATAAAGAACAAAAATGTGTAAATATCCTGTTAACTAGCGATGGTTGGTATTGATAAACTTGTGCATGATTTCAGTCAACCAGTTTTTAGTGTAACACCAGTATAACAGTTTTGTGAATTTTGATTGCTAGATAAGGAATTCAAAGTATTTGTGATATCATTTTGAACTGTTACATCCATATGGAGACCTGGCATGGTCTGATGGTTAGGTCGCTCGATACTCAATCGGTGGGTCGCTGGATCGAAACCCGTCACCAAATATTCTCGCCCGTTCAACCATGGGGGAATTATGATGTGACGGTCAATCCCCTATTTATTGGTAGCCCAACAGTCGGCGTACAGGTGATGTTGACTAGCTAATTTCCCTCCAGTCTATCATTTGGTAATTAGGGACTCTAACGCAGATAGCGATCGAATAGCTTTGCGCAAAATTCAACAAAGAAACAAATACATCCATATGGCATACTTAAACTGTTCAAATACATCAGTAAGAGGATACTGATTACCATCATTGTTTGTGCTTTCTTTGTTGGTGACTTATTTTGATAAGAAATGAAAACATATACTTTTTTTAATATTGTTAGAATATATATTGACAAGGCACTTTATCAGGACTTTTTAAAACAATCAATTTATTTATATATACCAAATTGGCCGATAACTTAATTTGTTAAATAATTGCTTAGGCCCTATAAATGAGGGATGTAGTTAGATTATATTTGGCCTTCAAGACAATGGGTGGTAGCCAGGACCTTTGCAACGATGGTCTAGCAAAATCAATTTTAACAAAGATCGTTTCTTTAACCAGCTGCTTAAACACATCGTCATCAGAGTCTATCAATAGCGACAACTGAAAAGAAATACGTCTGCCACTATAGGAATAACTGTGACCGTCAACTACTGATGCCTTAAAGATGGAAAGGACGATATGATAAGCCAGTAAAACGCAAAGGATGTCAGCACTTGACTAACTCAAATTGAACTGTAACCGTACTCTCATATAGCAGCCAATAGCCGGTTCCAAAACCACTTATCCGAGATGCAAAAAAATAACAAATAAAAATACGGCTTCAAGGGTACTTACATCGCAAACTGTGGACACTGAGTGACAAGAAATGTGTATTGTGAGCTGTAAAAAATAATAACAGTTGGTAAAACTACGGTTTGTTTATTTGTCTACAGTGGAACACAAAGTCACACAATGGGCTATCTATACTGTGCCCACCACGAGTATTGAAACACGGTTTTTAGCGCTGTAAGTCCGCAGACATACCGCTGAGCCACTGAGGAGCTAAAACGTGCCAACATAATATATTAAAGAACTTTTTACAAAGTTCAGTGTTATAACGGACAACCATTTAAAGTTCCTCATTAAAAAAAACACGTAATATTTGCAGAATTCTCCTAAAATTACGGAAACTATTTTGTATTTTGATAAGGTTCCTTACAATATTTTTCTGTTAAAATACAGAATATTGTAAAAAAAACGTTCGTGAAGTAGTTTTTATGGATTGTTTTTTTTACGTTTTACAGTTTAGTCTGAGCTGCGTTTCACCATTTTCTGTGCTCACGGAAGAGTAAAAAATATATAAAAAAGCCACACTAGCCTCTAAACTATAATTGTGCTGTTTCGACTTCACGAGCTGCTAGAAATGGTGTGATGATAAATGTTATCATGGAAGGTGTTAGTTCCTCTCGTTTATTACGAAGGGTGAATATCATACTAAGTGTACCTAAGCTTTGTTTTCGATAATTCCAATCCAGAATCTTGCCTTTCAATTCTGATGAACAAGGGCTCTTTCAAGACAATAATACAACAACCTTCCATGCTCTTACTATTCGAAACTGGTTCGAGGATCATGGCAGTGACTTCAATCGTCTTGCTTGATCAGCACAATCAGACTCCATGGCTCAGGTACAACCATCCATAGCTTTGAACTACTACCTATAGGGACGGCAATCATTCAAAGGCACCCACTGCCTACAGGGCTACTCTTAACTGATCAGAGTTTCTGTTACTGGCAGGATTTGAATTATTAATAGGCGTAATAAAACATGAATTTTAACTGATATCTTAACTGAATTTTAACTGATGGCGTTTAATTGGTTTGTTTTGTTTTGAATTTCGCGCAAAGCTACTTATTGGCTATTTGTAGACTAGAAGGAAGGCGTCTAGTCAACACCACCCATCTCCAACTCTTGGGCTACTTTTTACCAACGAAGAATTGGATTGACCGTAACATTATAAAGCCCACACTCCTGAAAGGGCAAGCATGTTCGGAGACGGGATTTGATCCTGCGATCCGTAGTTTGGGAGTCGATAACCCTAATCACTAGGTCATGCCAAACCCTAACGTTTAATTTCAACAGATTTTGAAATGTGCTACCTCAAGCATTTGTCCCTCCTAAGCTGTCAGTGCTCCTGTTGGAGAGTTAATGTTCACTATCCACATTTTTTCACTTCATAGAAAAAAACAACAAAAAACGTGTGTAGTTCAATGTGAATTAGTAAGTTAGAAATCCATTTTATTATAAACCTTTCCTTACATGACTAAAAAGTGGCATCTGACGAGTACCGAGAATGGTTTCTCAGCAAACGGGTACAAGAAATTGGCATACTTAAATAAGCGAAGAAACATAGTTCGTACCAATACAATATTTTTGTTTTAGCTTTCCTTGTAATGGAAATCTTTGTCACTGCTTTAGAGTATTTAGCTAATAAAACAAACATACTTGTTTACACAATCACGTGTTAAGAAGCACTGGATAAACAGTATTTACAAGAGCGTCTGAACGTTAAATATTTTTGAAGATGAACGAGTTCAGTGATTTACTTTTAAAACTTAAACTAGAGTCCAATATTTCAACAATACATCGAGAAAATATATAGAAATGTAAGGATGTACATGAATAATTTGAACAAGCTTTAATTAAGGACAGAAACAACTTTCCAAATTATTAACAACGTACATAAACTAACGACATGAAAAAAACTCCATATATCCAATGTTTAACATCCGAAAATAATTAGAAAGTATTAATAACACAATGTAAGCGTAAACCTGCACCTTTCCAATATTATCGTCTTCAATTAGTATGATTTGATTTACATAGAAATTTCTACATTACTCTTACAGCACGCGCTTTCTAAAGATTCAACAAATACTGATTTATTTTGTTTATTTGTATTGTTGTTGTTTTTGCTGCATGACATCTTAAATTATGGTCGCTATACCTACAATCTCAGAATTGTACATGTTTATTCAAAAAGAAGTTAATAAATTCACCAAAAAAAGAACAAAATATTCTGCTTAGGTCTGTTATTCGACAAGCTTTTGAAAATTATAACATAACTATTTTTCGTAGCTTAGTAACATGTTGAAATTCACAAATCTTGTACGGAAGAAATTTCTTTGTTTTGAAATTTCTTTGTTTTGAAATTACTATGTGTGAAAGGTATCTGTTATTGCTTTATTTATGTTTTGGAGATAAAACTAAACAAGAAAAGCTGTGCTAAAGTTTCTGAATAAAGAACAAAACAAATGTATAACATGTTTGAACTTTTAACATTAACCACGAGACTTCGAACAAGTACAATAAAAGTGCAGATATAGATAAGACTATTGTAACTTTTATAATGACTTATCTACGCCTTCTTTTGGTATTCTTTCAATATAAAACGTGTGTGTGTGAAAACAACTTACCACAATATAAAGTCATTTATCTGTCACCAGGGGTGTGCTACGTCTTCTGAAACCCATATAAATGACTTCTTTATCCTTTTAATGAAATTTACAAAATTTTATAAATGGAGTATATGACATAATGCACTTGGCTAGTCTAACAACAACTTTCCAGTTAATGATGTTCATATTCTAATTAATGTAGACTTCCTAGTTCATATGTGGCTGAGACAATCCTCGTATTTCTTAATTCTTTGAAGTTTTAACTTTAAAATATAGCATCTTCTCAATGTGTTTTTACCTAATCTATGATACTGAGCTAACATCAAGATTAATTAATATTAAATGAAATAAGATGTTTTTTCTCTGTATAATGAATAATTAGAGCAATTCTTCGACGTTTCTGAATGTATGATACTATGTCACGTGTGTGCCAATTTCTGAATGGTAGGCTTCCATGAATTGTCGTTAGAGGGTATTTTCAAGACAATTATCAGTCAGCTACTTGTATTTAGAAATACTGTAAATCAATAATATTTTCGAAAATACCAAGTTGAATTTAATGGTTTTATTTTTATATTAATGGGATTTACGCATCTTGTTTTTTCGTGTGCTTACATTCAAGTATTGACCTTTTTCATAAACTGTGTTATTGTAATTCAATATTGTAAACTGTGCAAGGCATACTGATTGTTTATTTTGTATCATAATTTACATCATTTAAAGCAATTTTTTTTGTTTATGGAACACTACAACAATTCTATATCAACCTGTATTTCTATTTACTGTAGCGTGCCTTTATTACAAAACTTGAGCAACGAAATCCTAGCAAAAATGGCTGATGTTTTAGAAGTGGTAAGTAATTACTCATACCCTTCTTACTCTTACTTCCAGTTGAACAGTTTTGAACAACGGATTTCCTACTGATACTTATAAGAACAAATTAATTTTCACGATGAAAAAAGATTGAAATCCTGTGCTTATTATATGACAGAAAAGTATTTTTTTAATCCTCGATGTACCTTAGTAACATTGTCCTTCAAACTTGGTACCAAATTTCATACGCATAATCAAATATTAATTAATGAATAATATTGTTATCTACCATCTTTTTACGTGTTTTTACGTGCTTTAACATAGTTAATTTTCGTGTTTTTTTTCTGTTCTATGTAGAAATATGAGCAGTAGTACAAGATAATTAATTTGATTTTTTTTTGCCATACAGAGCTTGAAAATTACCTAAGTAACATCATAAATTAAATCAACAAACGAATTCCGAGTCGTATTTTTATATTTATGTGGCTAAAAAAAATATATTAAGGAAAGCAAAGGTACTTTTTATATACATAGACAAGCTTCTTCTAATTGATTGGTGTTATACCGTACGAAAAACAATGAATCGATGAAAGCTATGAGTTCATTTATGTCTCCATTAACCTTGTGAAAGAACATCGAGCTTCTCGGTAAACTTTCATACAAATAAATGTTCCGATAGTAACATCATTTTATCTTACAGGACTTTTACCCAGCTCATGAATATATTATACGCCAGGGGGCTACAGGAGATACGTTCTTTATTATCAGCCATGGAAAGGTTGGTATAACGCTACTTACTGATTAGACGTCAGACTACGTTTACTATCATTAAAGAAAGATGAAGGTTGTTTTTCAATTTACATTACTTATATACCCTTCTTTAACATTTTATTTAATTAAAAACTAAATTAAAGTAAAACAAAAACAAACGTTAGCCATCGCATAAAATTTCGTCGATTATAAAACCATGTCAGTATCATTTGCATTTCTATTTAACGTGTTATATCAAAACATTTTATTATCATTAATAAATAGTGCTACTTGTACGCTTGTCTTTACGTAGTAAAGACCTAATCGTCTATAACTCCAATCACCTAGATAAACAAGTTTCATTATTAGCTTCTGCTTGTTACTTTTGCTTCGATAAGAACGATCTGAATCTGTGCGAATGAAAGACACGTAGCTGAACTTTCTACTATTGACAAGACCTGAATCTTAGAGAATGGAAGACAGGTAGCTGAACTTTCTACTATTAGAGAATTAAAGGCATGTAGCTGACCTTTCAACTATTAACAAGACCTGAATATTAGAGAATGGAAGACACGTAGCTGAACTTTCTACTATTAACAAGACCTGAATCTTAGAGAATGGAAGACACGTAGCTGAACTTTCTACTATTGACAAGATCTGAATCTTAGAGAATGGAAGACACGTAGCTGAACTTTCTACTATTGACAAGACATGAATATTAGAGGATAAAAGACAGGTAGCTGAAGTTTCTACTGTTGACAAGACCTGAATATTACAGAATGAAAGACAGGTAGCTGACCTTTCTACTGTTACAAGACCTGAATCTTAGAGAATGGAAGACACGTAGCTGAACTTTCTACTATTGACAAGACTTGAATCTTAGAGGATAAAAGACAGGTAGCTGACCTTCCTACTATTGACAAGAATAAAGAAGATCAATCAGAGTATTGAAAGTAGTATTAGATAATGTCTTAATTCTCTCGGACTAAGAATTCCGAACTAATCGCTGTTTTTTTAACATTTCGTAATGAAACAAACACTGGGCTGGCAACAAATGTTTAAGTGTAAACGTACAGATGGTGGAGGAATCGCACAATCTACAGTTTTGTCAGTTGGTACAGGTGTATAAAAGTATGAATGGTTGTTTTTTTATATACACACATATATAAATATGTGTTTCGCATCTGTACCTATTGACAAAGAGGTAAGCTGTGTGGTTATCCAACTACCTGTACATTCATTCCCAGCCCTCTATATCATTGGCAAGACAGCTCAAATACGAAAACCGAACTAGACCCAGACAATACTCTTAAACAAGTTATATGCGGAAATATACGTGTGAAATATCGATGCACGAAAACCAAGTCTTACTTATAAGATACGAAGTAAATTGAGACATTTTTAGTCGAACCACACATTACCAACTGATGCAGTTAGCCCAGTGACAATACTCCAGACGCATAAGAGTTTAGTCTTTTGACTAATTCTATAGGTATAATGTAGATAAAACTGCTAGTGGTAGCTTTATAAAGTAAACTATATGAAGTTACTGGTCCTCGTTTATCTTGTATTTTTTTACTATTCAGATACTTCTACTATAGCTGTATATAACCTTCGTAAAAGTATTAGTTTTTGTTTTACAAATAAGATATTATTACAAATCACTTTTAGGCTACTCATAACTCTCACAATTAATCAGTTTTCCTTATACTCGTACGGTTGATTGTTTGTAATTAAGCACAAACCTACACAATGGGCTATCTGTGCTCTGCCCAACACGGGTATCTAAACCCGGATTCTAGCCCGCAGACATACCGCTGTGCCACTGGGGGGCTACTCCTACGGTGTTAGAATTTTGAGCAAGATACGTTAACGATGTTTAGAACCTCAATATAAAAAACTGAGAAAATAGTCCTTATAGCTTGTAAAAGTGGGTATTTCATAAAATAAATTCACTTGATTGCAAAGAATAAAATCTTCCACGATATTGAACGTAAAACTAAACATTTTTATCACGTAATATAAATACGATGTCGGTTCTTTAGAATCATCGTCCCGTTGTATGTGATTAACAGGTTAAAGTGACCCAAAAAGTCTTCGGGCAAACGAACGAGGAAGAGATAAGAACTCTTGGAAGAGGTGAATATTTCGGAGAACAAGCACTTCTAAGGTAGGTACTTGTCTGTCTGTTTATTCAAAAATTACAGAAAATAGTCTAGTTACAAGAATATGTCACGTAACCACTTGAAAGAACTCTATTGCCTTCAATCTAAGATTAATTAGAAAAAGTGTTTTGTCATTTACGTGTACGATTACTAAATAATACATATAAATAATGAAGTATTTCTTACATATGTATTGAAATATTCTTAAGATATATGTATATATGTGTCACGCATGTTCTTTGGTGGTTGTCCTCTTTATAAATTTGTTTGTTTGTTTGAATTTCGCGCAAAGCTACACGAGGGCTAGCCGTCCCTAATTTAGCAGTGTAAGACTAGAGGGAAGGCAGCTAGTCTAGTCATCACCACCCACCGCCAACGAATAGTGGGATTGACCGTCACATTATAACGCCCCCACGGCTGAAAGGGCGAGCATGTTTGGTGGGATGGGGATGCGAACCCGCGACCCGCAGATTGCGAATCGAGCGTCCTAACCACCTGGCCATGCCGGGCCTCCATATATATGAAAGACAATACATTGAAATTTGATGTAGACTGTTAAAACAGAA